TGCAAGGACTGATTAACCTTCCTATTTTATTCTCCTAACCTATATTAAAACTATTACCCACAGCTTTGTTTTACAGGAATAAGGATCCTTATTTCTGGCAGAAATTAAATTAAATTCATTCTTCTGGACAGGAAAGAGCTGGTGGGTTGGGTGGAATTTTGGGGCTCCAAAGGAACCATGCAAAACGCAGAGGCTCACTTCTTGCTGTCACAGTGCTCGCTGCAACTCTCTGAGTGAACAGGAAATGAGCGCCTGTCATCGGTTATTTGAGGCTGTCTGTATTGTAATGCGGATTTGCTTATATTGAATTAGCATCAAAGGTAGAAATTACACATGAAGACCTCTAAAACTTTTTTTACTAGACCTCTATTGTCTTTATGTATTATTTACCACCTCATGTTGTGGCAGTTTGATATCAGTTTTCTGAATGGATGCTGAAGGGATCATTTAATATACAAAATAGAAAAGATCCTGAAAATTCTACCCAAAAAACCTCCTTTGGGCAAAGAGCACCAGCTTTTTTTCTGGCATCTGTAGTGTAACTTTAATAAATCAGTACTTGAAGGATTTTGTTGTTTTGTTTTGTTTTGTTTTATCTTAATAACATTTATTTAGGAATTGATAAAATCCACTCTAATGAAATAGTGGGGTCAAAGGGCTTAAATGTTGCATATCATCACTGCAAATTATAAGCTAAATACAAAATGAAATAAAGAAAAAAATTTGTTGCAATTCTTAAGACATCTCTCTGTGTCTCTTACATGAAGAAACACTGAAGTGACTCTAAAATAATTTAAACTAAGATCTGGTTGTAAATCAATGCACTAGCATTGTAACATAGTGGTTTACTTGACCAGATAGATATTCTGTGGTTTGAAACCTAAAAAAAACCCAGTATTTTTTAAAAGGTATTCATGATCTTACATTGCTTCTTTTTCAATAAGAAGTTTATATACTAAACTGTTTTTATTAACATTATTATTTTTTAACAAATCTACTGCATTCCAGTGTTCACCTTTTAAAGCTACTAGATTATTCTAACATAATTGTAACTATATTAGTTACCTCAGAGATCCTAGCCACCATAAAGCTTTCCACCACTCATGCACCAAATGAGAACTGTCATCAGTATAGTTACTGTAACTACTTGCTGTCATACCTGGCTCTAACGTTATGCAGGCAATTATCTCATACAAGGAACCTATGTAGATATTTTAGTTCTAAAAGAGGTTGCAATGTGTATTACATTTATTTCTGAAGTTGGTCTACTAGTTATGTTCTAGTGCTAGATTGTAAACTTCTACTTCATCGTAATAACTTTTTGTGTTGTACAAAGTACAAGCGGACCCTACGGCCAGCAGTTGTACAAGTAGTGCTCCAAGATGCATGTTCCTGTTAATAGAATAATATTTTTCTAAACCTATATCAGCACACATAGTAAGTGGGAAACAAACCACTCAGCTTTATCTGAATTTCTCTTAAGGCTTTGCATGGAGAACTGAATTTATGAATACAGTCATATTTTTGAAACATAAGACAGTTATCTGAATCTCTGCTACCTGTAATTGTGTCACATTTTCTTTCATCTATTTGCTACATTAAAGAAATTCTTTATATTTAAAATATCACTTTTCCCTCTTAGGGATGAACGAAGAACTGAAGCTGTTTTGTAAACAGCTTTGCTGGATTAGAGTTGTATCTATAGTTGTATGTATCATACACTATACGAGGAAACCATTTAGAAGAACAGTGAAGTTTTGTTAAAGAAAACAGCCCAGGGCCACTTGAATGCGTGGAAATTCAGTGCAAAAATTCTGCTTTTATCAACACCAACAAAACCTTTGAGGGTGAAAATACACTGTTTAAGGGCTGTGTGCATGTCCTCTTTGGGTTGCTTAGCAAAATGTAGTTCTGTCTTCACTGGAATAATCCTGGTGTCATTCCATACTCACTACTTTTTCAGTTTCTTCTACTCATCTGATCCAGAGGATTATAGTTTAACTACCAGGCATGTCTTGATTTTCATATTAGCCAATGTGAAAATTACAGTGGCAAGTATTTAGTAATGCCTTCCATCAGCTCCCAGCCACAGACATTGTGTTCTACTCCAAGAGTTCTTTTCCAAATTTGATAAAGAAATTTGGGGACAGTACAGTCTCCATGCGTTGCATGAAGTAAATTCCTCAATTCACTGACAGAGCAATGAATCCCAAATGAGAATCTGTTTCTTAAATGAATCTCAAAAGGCCCCAGCAGTTGAGGTTAAACTATAAAGAAACTTATTGAGCTCCACTGTTATGCACTGCTCGTATTCCCCTACAGTTCACATACATGCAAAAGCACCATCAGATTTTTTTCTTTACCCTGCACTGCCTAACACTTGCCTAACTTTCCTGTCCGTACCTGAGAGTCTTGCAGTTTTGCGTGCACTGAGCTTGTGTAACGGTACTCTTCACTGGGTTATTTCATCGAGTTAGGTTTAATGACATGGTGTGTGCATTACTAATATTTTTGGTACGCTTTTGACTCATTTGCCTTAAGGTATTGCTGAATAGGGCGCTACTGTGAGGATGGTCAAGTCACAGTGAATCTTATGCATTACTGCTAGTGGATAAGACCTAAATTTGATTGGAGTAAGTGAAGAGTAACAAGCAGGAAGTCTGGGGTAGGAACTGAGGAGGGATGCACTGAAATGAACCTAATGCTTGCCAACGATTCAGAGTGGCAATCTGAAAAACAAATATCCTGTTCTTTCTTCAAGCAGAAATGCTTCTGTGAGCATCATATTGTTTTATCTCATTTATTTAATCTCTTTTAGAAGGCAGCCTGTGTAGATTAATTAGGAATTGTTTTCAATAAGCTTCTTGAATATGAAAAGAAGTGCTTTGTTATTATTTGATCCTGTGAATAAAAATAATTATACCAATTTGTACTGGAAAAGTAAAAGTCAGTCATGACCCACTTGGGTTCTTTTTAAAGCTCTCTTGGACAAAAGTGTAATGTACTATTCTGTTTCTGGTACGCCTCTGTTTCTGGGTCAGAAATCTGTATATAAACACTGAATACTCTTAGCTACAGAAAAGGACTCTCAAGTTAGGTTTTCAGTTTATGGAGCTCAGTTTTGAATTAAAATCTGGATCGTTTGAAGAAGATATCTCTTACTCTGTTTTACACTGGTTCTATTTTTCTTGTGTTTCAATTCTCACTCCACTGAATGAGTTGGAAAAATCTGTCCCCTGGCACATGCACCCACAAGTCCACTCATATAAGCACAAGGATCCCTTAAAAACAAACTTTACTGCTTTCATTGAAAGTTTGACAATTTCTTTCTTTGATAGCTCCTACCACCAAACATGCCCCAGGAGGTCCAGCTTTTTAACATGCGTCAGAAAGCAGCAGTGGTAACCTCTGTTTAATTCCCTAGACTGAAGAGGGTTTTCTGAGGATGACTTAACAGACCCATCCTATCAAGAAATTAGACTGCTCCTCATGCTTTTCTCTTTTCTGGGATTGAGAGAATGACAGGAGATTGAAGGCCTCTCTTGCCTCCCTCACATTTTCCCCAAAATTTAATTGCAAGAGCACACTGTATTCTCTGACTTCTTTTTTACCATCTCAGTTGGCAATGAAGCCTAAACGATGTTTCTAAGCCACACAGTTACTTCTGTAATGGGTATTCACCTCATTCTTGATGCATTGTCAAAGCACTGCACTATTACCTTACCATTCTTCCATGCTACTTGAGATACTGAGTTTTAGTTTGATAACAGCTCTTCTCCCCGTTTAACAAGACAGGTTTCTCACAGTTTCTGATTTTCATGCAACAGATTTCACAGTTACTTTGACAATTACTGAAGTTTAAAAAAAATACTTTTTACATTGTTTGCTTTTAAAATAACAGCTGACTTTTACTGGTGTTATTTATGTTTTCAGATTTTTTTTTTAATGAGTGTGTATGAAAGGAAAAAAACCAAAGCCCTAAGATTCTCATAGATGTGCAACACTAGGAACTTGTTTTAAAGTGGAAAAAACCCATCCTGAGACACAATGTAAGCTTAAGAATAGATATTTCTTCTTATCTTGTATATAGTGGTTTCTCATTAAGTTGTTTGGATATGAATCAGTCAATGAAAATGTATCAGTAATCTTTCTACTCCAGCCTCATTAGAGTACCTGTAATGCACCCCATCTCCTTGAGCCATATCCCATCTGTCTTTCTAAGCAATCTATGGCTGCGTTTCAGGTTTTGCCAATCACTGTGACATTAGCAGGACCTACTATGTAAACTTGCTTGTCCATTTCAGGGAGTGTTTGCACTGAGATGAAACCTGATGTGGACTTCTAATACATGA